AGGTGGGATCACCCAACAATATGGACGAATCTTAAACCATTTTGTTAAGTGAAAGAAGCCAATCTAAGAAGGCTGCATATTACATGATTCCATCCATATGGTGCTCTGGAAGAGGCAAATTGGGAAAGGGAAACGCCAGTGGTATGGCGCACCAGATAGGGGTGTGTGTCCACTGGCAGTGGAGGTTACAGAGACCTAAGTGTCGAGAGGCTGTCCTGGCAATCGCGTCCACTTCCTTATTTCTGCACAAGATGTGATTGGATTTGATTATTCCATTTCCCATGTGTCTCAGTCCATTCAGGCTCCTATAACAAAACATGGTAAACTGGGAAGCTTAAACAACCAGGAGTGGGGCTGCGGGGAGGGGTGACTACAAAAAGCCAGCACAAGAGAATTTTAGGGGTGATGGAACTCTTCTGTCTGATGTATGGTGGTAGATACACAACTGTAGGCGTTTCTCAAAACCCATTGAACTTCACACCACGAAGAATGAATTTTAGTGTATGCAAGATAGATAAATAGATTGATCTGTTCATTTATGTACACATATGTTCATTCATATACAAATAGGAAGCAGTCACTTGTATTAAATGTTTCAAGATCAAGGAATATAAGTGACAGTTTTTCTCTGGATCCATTTAATAATGGCCTAGACCTCTGTATGGGTGAATTCTGGGCTGCAGGCAGAATTGACCTACAAAATCTAATGTACGTTTCAGAGCATGGCCTCTTGGCATGGCCCTTAGAGCTTCCAAGAACAGAGGGCCTACTCCTGGGATGGAGGAGACCTTAATCCTGAGATATGCATCTGTTGGGGGTAAAATACTCCAATAAAGAGAGCCTGGTATTAGTTGGGCTCCCAAGCTGGGTTCTTATCTGTGCCAGACTGTGTTGGTGTGACTGTAGGTGACTTTAGTCTCTCAGAGCCTCCACTTCCTCTCAATAAAATGAGAATAACGAGTTTCTCAGTATTGATTGGGAGCAGGCTTCAAGGCTTGATGTGGGCACCACCCTCTCCTGGGGCTGGCTGCACGTTCCCTAACAACTCCCCCAGGTCAGTGACTCCTGACTTACTCTACCCCGCACCATCGCAACAAGCTTCTCACTGTCTCTCGGTCGTTTGTTTACTTGTGCTACAGAGCAGGCACATCCATGAGGCTCCGTGCCTAATCCAGTGCCTGGCACATAGTAAATGCTTAGGAAACATGCATCGATTCACATTCTTTCAGGATCAGGGCATTTCCCACCTCAATAACCTTCCACCTTCTGAGTAACTTTGCCTTTCCCTGAAAGTCGAGCCACCCTTTGAGCGGAAGAGCTGCCATGTCTGAGGGCGCTCAGGTTCCGTCAGGGTCTCATCCAGCCATTCCTAGACAGACCAGTGGCTACCAAGTGGGTACTCTGCACATGCTGTTGAATAAATCTATCCATTTTGAGAAGCAGGAGCAATGTTGGGGAAAGTTTGGGTCCCGGAACGGGCAACACTAATTCAGAGTGTCACCCATGGAGCTTTTTGTGTGTAAAGAAAACAGCTCAGGTGTGCCTGGAGGCCTCTGAATGGTGGATTGTAGAGTGCTGAGGGCATTGGAAGTGCTTCTGTCCCCAAGGAGTTTGGAGTTTCCCCTCCAATGTTCAGGAAGGCAACCAGCAGGAAGGACCTCCTCCAGCTTCCCTGGGCCCTGCTCACAGTCAAGGATGGGTGCACAGGAGGGAGGCAGATGCCTGGGGCATGAGGACACCTGGCTGTGTCCAGGACCAAGAGTGATGGAAGCCACTTCTGGGCACCGAGGTCCAAAGGGGAGTGGGGAGCAGCTGCCTTCCCTCCTGTTCCCCTTTCCCTTCACCCCATGTCCCCAGGGCAGCAGGGTGCTGGGATCATCCCTGGTTCCTTGAGCCCAGCTCCACCTACTGATACATCTCTCCCTTCCCTCCACCCTCCACCTCCAGATTTCTGCAGCTTAAAGGCTTAGGCGTGACCTCAAAAGCCATGTGTATGTTCCCTGCTGATCCCTCCCTCCTCCCTGGTGGGGATTTGAGCGGACAGAGCAGGTTCAGCCCCCTCAGACACGCAAGCATCACGCCCTTGAACATGGCCCAGTGGCTCCTGATCCCAGGAAGCCCATGGGAGGAGAAGGAAGGCTTTCTCAGGAACCTGGGATTACACTGCTCCAGGCTTCAGATTCTCGTGTGGCCCAAATCATCTCTTACTTTCTTGTTCTCTTGCTCTTTCTCTCTTTCTGCAAGAAGCCTTTGTCTTCGGTTTAGCTTTCATACACCAAGGCTGTGTGTTCTGTGGAGGCGGGACAGAATGGATGTCAAGGAATGACTCTGTAAGTTAATGATGCTGAGTGACTGGCAGCCTGGCTGAGCTCAGTAGTATCACTTCTTATGGCCCAGTTTCTGCTGTGATCTGCATTCCTAGGTGAGGAAACAGCCCCCGAGGTGTTAGCCAACTTGCCCAGGTCCCACAGGTCATCAGGAGCAGAGGCACTTCCTGAAACCTAAGTCCATCGGCTACTAGAGACAGTGCATGGACCAGCTGTGTGGGACGTCTGCAGTTCCAGGTTGTTGCTGTCAGTGACAAGGGTGGGAGGCCACAGAGTCCTGGTCTATACCCACCCCCTTCACCATGCCAGTGTCTAGAGGATTTTATTCCTGAACTGTGGAGCAGACTGATCCCAGCTATCAGCAGACAGCTGGGGAGGATGGGGTGGATATCTGCCTGCTCGCAGCCTTTGATGTCCCCACCAGGGCATGCCACACATAAGGATGACTGATTCATCACCATAGAAGTCATTTGTTCTCCTCCACAGCGCCCCAGCATGCACACAGGGGTGCAAAGCAAGGCATGAGGCTGAACAAGTAGAAGTAGCATCAGATTGTCACTGAAGAGATAGAGGGTCAGAGAGGTTTCATGATGTGACCAGGGTCACACAAGCTCATGCGTAGTCAAGCTAGGACTCCAGTCGACAGTGTGGTGTGATTTCCACTCGGCCAGACCGTCTCATTGTTAGAGGTGGGGCTTAGCCTTGGACGAGGAACATCAGGTCCCACTGTGAGTGCTGGCGTAGATGCCTGGGTGCTTTGAGCTGCTTACTTCCCTCTCTAAGCCTCACTGAAAACAGGAACGTTGATGGCCCTAGTGCCTGCCTTGTGGGTTCAAGATGTGCCAGGAAGATGTGGATGAGTACAGAGGATGGTGGGGCACAGGCAGCCGGGAACTCTGCCAGTGGCCACTGTCTTTGCTGGCAAAATTAAGGCCATAGATGCCATTCATTCTCCTTCGCAGCCCTCCAGGATACACATGGGTGTGAGGCTGAGTAGAAGTCTGTTCCTACCAAGGGCAAAGTCATTTAGACTCCCCTCCCTGCTGGAGGCCAGGTGATATGTCTCCAGCAGCAGAAAGATGATATGACATTATTGTAATTTTCAAAACTTCTCATTTTTCAAAAATTTTTAAAGATGTTATTCTAATTCCCAAGATTGGATAAATCAATCAGCTCTCAAAACCCTGCTTTGGATAATCAGGAAATGTCTCGAATTTTCATGGCAGAAATGCTTGTTGATCTGCATTGAAATATCCTAGCAGCTGCATCTCTCCTGGAAGTAAGATCTTGGCCTCAAGAATGCCAAGTCTCTGCCTATATAATTCTCCATCTCTGAGCTGACAAACCTTGAAGCCAGTCCGTGCCCTTGAACCGACAGCAGCAGCTCTATTAAAGAAGTTTGATTACGAAAAAAGAGAGAGATGTGAGGGAAGTGAAAGAATCTATTTTTCATTAAATGCTGCTTGTTTCAAAGTGGGAACATTTTCCGGGTGTCTGGGGAGCTGATGTTTTCTGTGGCTTGCCGGGAGAATCAGATCTTAAAAAGCAGAAAAGTTTCCACACAAAGGAGAAAGCATCATTTTCAGAGCTTAGGGCCTAATTATATTTGCAGAGAAGGGATTTCTGTCCTGGAAGTTTATTTAACAAGCGTTTATCAAGCACCCACAATGAACCAGGTGTCATTCCAGGTGTTTAAGGGGTTTACAAGGGTAATAAAAGTATTCTAATAAGATGAGATGATGCATATTGTTATTTTTGTTAATATTTTAACCTTTGTTTATTCAGTCGATTGCTAAGGTTGATTGAGAACTTACTGTGTACCAGGCCTAGCCTAGGTACTGAGGGTGTAATGGTGACCAGGGAAGTGTGGATCCCTGCCTTCCAGAAGCTTCCAGTTAAGCTGGTGTGGTGAGAGTGGGTGGAGATCTGGGAGTGCCCTAAACAGGATCTGTGACAATGGAATTCATTCATGTATACGTCCATTCATGGGTGTGCTTATCCACTGATGATTTTGAATGTGGCAGTGGCAGGTGAGAAGGGATTATTTCTCTATTACTGAGCAGATGAGTTGTCAGAGCTGCCTGGGGGTGCAGGAATGATGCTCAAACCCCAAGCATTTGATTTGGATTTTTTCTACATCTTGGCTGTTATCAGCAATATGGCTATGAACATTGATGTGTAAGTTTTAGTATGGACATATGCTTGCATTCCTCTTGGATCTATACTTGCGAGTGGAATTGCTGGGTCATATGGTCTATGCTTAATCTTTTGAGGGACTGCCAGACTGTCTCCCAGGCTGTACCATTTTACATTTCCACCAGCAGTGTTTGAGATTCCAGTACCTCCATATCCCTGTCAACACTTAACTACTATCTGTTCTGGGTTCTAGCCATCGTACATGTGTGAAGTGTTTCATACTGTTTTTTAAAATGCAAGACATATCTAAAACATGATCCACTCTAAGGGGCTGGAATATCTTTGCATAATCCAGTATCCAGCAACTATTTCCTGAGAGCACTGGTCTGCCCCTGGACTGAGAAATGGCTGACCTTCTTGCTGATCAGTCCAAAGCCAGGTGGGCTCTGCCATTCCTTAATGAACTCCCAGATGTCAAGTGAGGTTTGTCAGGAGGCCCACAGATAACTAACACTGCCATCTCTTCCTGTCTTCCAGCAATTCACGAGTTCCCCGCAGACCTGTTCTCCAATAAGGAGCGACAGCACGGAGCTGTCCTGCTGCACATCCTTGGTGTAAGTGGTCCTCCCGGAGTGGTCACAAAACTTCTAGCACGTGAAGCCTCTCTGCACAGCGGGGCAGAGCCGTGGCATGTCTGAGATCTGTTATTCTTGTAACAGCCCAGTGAGGAGAGTGGAGACTGGGCACATTTCACTCACAAAGAAATGGTGTCTTAAATGTGTTAGGTGACTTACCCAGTGTCACACAGCTAGTGGCCCCAGAGCCAACACAGGAATGGAAGTCTTTCCTGTACCCCATTTTCTGCTTTTGTAAAACAGGGATGATGGTACCTATTACAGAGGATGAATATGAGTGAATACGGGTCTAGGGCATCAGCGTTGTGTGGCACATGATAACTCCTACAAATGCTTGCTGTCCTGATTCCCATGACGACCCCTAAATTTTAGTACCTTTACATCACTATGTAGACAGTCCCCAAGTTAGGATGGTTCCACTTACTATTTTTCAGTGTTACGACGTTGCAAAAGTGAGGCATATTCAGTATCACTGTTCTGGAAGTATAAAGAAACTATACTGTGAATACTCTCTCCTCATGCTGGGCAGTAGCACCAGTTGCAGCTCCCAGTCAGTCACGTGGGCATGAGCATAAACAAGCAACCAGTACTTTACAGGGTACTGTGTTGCCAGATGAATTTGCCCAGCTGTAGGCTAATTAAGTATTCTGAGAACGTTTAAGGTAGGCTACGCTAAGCGATGATGTTCAGTAGGTTAATTGGGTTAAATGCATTTTCCACTTATTTTATTTATTTATTCATTTATTTATTTATTTATTTATTTTTGAGACGGAGTTTTGCTCTGTCACCCAGGCTGGAGTGCAGTGGCGCGATCTTGGCTCACTGCAACCTCTGCCTCCTGGGTTCAAATGATTCTCCTGCCTCAGTCTCCCAAGTAGCTGGGATTACAGGCATGTGCCACCACACCCAGTTAATTTTTGTATGTTTAGTAGAGAAGGGGTTTAACCATGTTGGCCAGGCTGGCCTCGAACTCCTGATCTCAGGTGATCCACCTGCCTTGGCCTCCCAAAGTGCTGGGACTATAGGTGTGAGCCACTGCCCCCAGCCCATTTAAAGTATTTTAAACTTAAAAGGGGCTTATCAAGCTATAACCTCATTGTAAGTCTAGGAGCATCTGTAGTTTAAAACTTTGGTGTACTTCTCAAACTTGCCTCCATATTCAGATGGACCTTGATGACAAATGGTGGAAGGGGGGTCAAGTAGTAATTTGAAAAGAAATAGGGGTTCAAACCTAAGTTACAAGTTTATAAGTCTCTGTGCTGGAGTAGGCAAACTACAACCCTTGCCAAGTCTGGCTCAATGCCTGTTTTTGTAAATAAAGTTTTATTGGAACACAGACATTCCTATTCATTTCTATATTATCTTCTATAATATGATAATAAGTGCTATTTTTGCACTTCAGAGGCAGAGCTGAGTACATGCATCAGAGACAACCTGACCCACAAAGTCAAACATATTTTTTATCTGCCCCTTTACAGAAAAGGTTTGCTGACTCTGTTGTGTGGTATGGAGAAACGTAGCTGGTCAAGGTTTGCTTCTCTGCTTTGGATCAACCACAGCAAATTTTCCTCCTGATCAGCTTCCCTGACCATCCAGCACCATCTGCTTGTATATTTAAACCCAACCAAGTATTATTCTTTGCAAGAGATCATTAAGAAAGTGAAATCTGGAATTCCCACATAGATAGTAACAACCAGAAAATAATGAATGGGTGAAGTTTTAATTAAGAGGGTAAGCCATTCATGAAAATGAAGACTAGAATGAGGGCTGTTGGCACATTTTGAACAACAGACCTGTTTATTATTTCTATAATACCGTTATTATCTTTCTAGTTTCTCTGGCTTTACACTCCCTCCCCTTTCACTAAGGGACTGTGGATGTGGCTAATTGGTCCCATAGTTCTGTGGTCCTGCCTCGTGAAAGTCTTGGCATAGCTGAAATAAAACCTCAGGTTTCTGCTGAACCTGAGTGCACCTTGGGAATTTCACAGGAACCCTTTAGAGGAGGGGTTACCAAGCTATGGCTGGAGAGCCAAATCCAGCTCACCAACTGTTTTTTTTTAAAAATAAATAAATAAATAAAGAGAAGAGGTTTAACTGACTCACAGTTCCACATGGATGGCGAGGCCTCAGGAAACTTACAATTATGGTGGAAGGGGAGGAGGCACATTTTCGGTGGTGGCAGGGAAGAGAGAGCGTGCAAGAGCAGGGGAAACTGCCTTACAAAACCATCAGATCTCGTGAGAACTCACTCACTATCACGAGAACAGTATGAGAAAATCACCCCCATACCACCAATGGTTTTTATAAATAAAGTTTTATTGGAACACTGCCACACCCATTCTATGGCTTGTTCTTGTTTCACAACAGCAGAATAGTTGTGGAAGTGACTATTTGGCCAGCAAAGCCTAAAATATTACTATCTGACCCTTTACAGAAAACGTTTGCTGACCTCTTGTTTTTTCTTTTTTTGATTTGAATGGGTAGATGAATGCTGACCTCTTCTTTAGAGCACAAAAAGGACCTAGCTTAGGGGCTGGTTTTGCCTGCAGTGCTCCGTGACCCAAGAGATGGAAATCGGGGCGCTATCTTGGCTCATCTTCTCTCCTCATTGTTTCTCAGGGCTCAGAAGAGAGAGGGGCCTTTTGGCCTCTCGGGAGGTGATGTTGGTGGGGATTGCTGTGAGTGAATTCAAGTCAGAATCCTAAGCTTTGTAGCAGGGTCTCCCCCACCTGCCTTCTCCCCTTTACCCACACCCCTGCTATTTGTTTCTTTTTACTCCTCTTCCTCAAAATGTTGACAATAAGTCAAATCCAGTAGACACATGCCTCAGATGCCCTGGATGCAGCTAATGTATCTTCTACTTTATTAATCCCAATGAATGAATGGTGAAATTGATGAGTATCACACTGTTTTAGCTGAAGTAGCCCAGCCTTTCTCTTTTGCAAACAGGACATCCATAGCACTTTTTCTTTGAAGAAAGAAATGGCTTTCCCCAGTGCTTAGAGCAAAACCCGTCTCTTCTCCATGGGTCCTGGTCCTGGCCTTTCCCTCCAACCTCACATTCTCCATTTTCCACTCTCTCTATTCTACCTGTTGTTCCTCAAATGCTGTCAAACACACTCCTGCCTCAGGGCTTTTGCACTGCTGTTTCCTGGTAGATATTTTACTGGCCAGTGTGCTTCTTTGTTCCCCACTAAGGTAAGTTATAGGAGAGGGTTTTCCTGGCTTCCTCACCACTGTATCTCTGATCCCCTTGGTAGTTCCTGGCACATAGGATGAGCTCAGTGAAGCCGTGCTGGCTGCTGAGCAGAGGGATGGGCCAGAGAGAGATTCCAGATATAAAACCATTTAAAAACTGCTGATCTGTGCTTACTTCATCATGAGACAGATGCTGAAACCAAAACCTAGAAACGTTTCTTATCCAAAGTCACTTGGCAAGTCAGTTCCAGAACCAGCCTTAGAATCTGGGTTCTTTGCTCCTTGAACCTCCAAATGTCAATGGCCTGTGTGTTTTAATGGTGCCAACATTATTAAGTAGCATCCCAGGAAATGCTGGATCTCAAGTTGCCATTTGTTTTGGCAGGGGATAGGCAGTCACTTTAGTGCCTTCCCTAAAAATAAAGGGAGCAAATCAGGATTGTTATTATTATTTTAAATTCTTAAAATTGTGGTTCTGAGTGCTTTCCTTTTTGGCCATTAGAGTTAGATCTTGCCTGTTGAGGGCAGACTCTGGTGCTAGGAGAGAGAGCTGCTGCTTTAAGAAGAGATGCTTGAGAGAGTAGAAAAAAAATTGTTTTTCCTGTTCTCAAACTTGCTCACCACCTTCTGCTTCAACAAACACACAACAAAATGCGTGAGGGTTTTTTCCCCACATGCCAAGAATTCAGCAGATACCAGTTGGGTGTCCTCTAACTCAATTCAGTTCTGACACTGTACCTAGAGACAGTGGCAGCTCCCACCCGCCAAGGGCTCAGTCCCACAAGACTGCTTCTTCTTTAGACGGCAGATGCAACCCTCAAGGTGTTTTACCTGTGCTTCTGAACAACCTGCAAAATCAGGGTTCCCATGACCCCCTCCTTGCGCTCAATTAATTTGCTAGAGCGGCTCACAGAATTCAGGCAAACACTTTGACTTCCATTTACCAATTTATTATACAGGATATTACCAAGGATACAGGGCTGGTGCCTTGGCTCACTCCTGTAATCCCAGCACTTTGGGAGGCTGAGGTCAGAGGAGCACTTGAGTCCAAGAGGTCAAAACCAGCCTGGAAAACATAGTGAGACCCCCATCTCTACCAAAAAAAATAAATAAATAAATAGAATTAGCCGGCCGTGGTGGTGCGCACCTGTAGTCCCAGCTACTTGGAAGGCTGAGGTGGGAGGATGATGAACCCATGAGGTAGAGGCCTCAGTGAGCCAAGATGGCACTGCTGCACTCCAGCCTGGGTGGCAGAGAGCCCGTCTCAAACAAAAAAGGATACGGATGAAGGGATGCGTAGGGCGAGGTGTTGGGGAAGGGGTGCAGCACTTCCACACCCTTCCTAAACATACGACCCTCCAGGAGCCTCCATGTCTTCAGCTATCAGGGAAACTCCTTAAGCCCTGTCTTTTTGGGTTTCTATGGAGGCTTCATTACATAGGCATGACTGATTACATCATTGGCCACTGGTGATCAACTCAACCTCCAGCCTCTCTCTCCTCCCTGGAGGTTGGGGGCTGGGGCTTAAAGTCCCAACCCGCTCATACTGCCTTGGTCTTTCTGGTGACCTGCCCCCATCCTGAAGCTACCTAGATGCCCCCAGTCATCAGTCACCTCATTATCATGCAGAAGACATTCCTAGTATGCCCAAGGTTCCATGGGTTTCAGGAATTGTGTGCCAGAAACCAAGGGCAGAGAGCAAATACAACTTTCTTATTAGATCACAAGAGGAGGGAGCCCCAGTGGCCTGAGTTTTCGTCCCCTCTGCTGCTCAGCATGTTATCGCCTCTGTGGGTCTCAGTTTCCCCATTTGCCAGTAAGGGGATTGAGGGAACGAAATCTACGGTGCTGGAGTCTTCCTGTGTGCCCCGCTCTGTCTGCCTGGCCTCTGCCCTGGCAGCCTGGTTTGGGGTGCGGTGGGCCCTCTGCAGCTGCGGCAGGGGCCCTCACGACCCTGCCTGTCTCCTGTCTCGTTTGCAGGCTCTGTATATGTTCTATGCCTTGGCCATAGTGTGCGATGACTTCTTCGTTCCATCTCTAGAGAAGATCTGTGAGGTACGTGGAAGGGACTTGGGACACCTTGGTGAAGCCTTGAAGACATGTGGTACATAAATGCCAGGCCGAGAAGGCCAGGGCTGGTGCGGGGAGCATGCTGGTGGTAACGGCTGTCACACCGAGCACTTAGTGTCTGCCCCATGGTGAGGCCTCACCAGAAACCCTCGAATTAGCCTTGGTGGATGGCAGCCTCTCCCAGAACTTGGCAGAAGAAAACGCTCCCAGTGTGAGATCACTACCGAGAACCACTGGGTCCACAGCAGGCTGTTGGCATGTGTGTTCAACCTGGCTAAGTACAAAGCACAGGCAGGCCTGCCAGATGCAGTGGAGCATTGCCTGTCACCAGCTGCAATTGGCAGGTGCCAGGTGGGCCCACCACCCCCCCCCGCCAGGGGGATGCCAAGCTGCAGTGGCAGGAGTTTCCCTTCCGTCCTCACCTTTGCATGCTGGTGTTTTCCCCCACAATTATTTTGTTAGTTTTTTACTTTCTTTCCTTATTTCTCCTCACATACAAGATCCCAGTGTATCTCTTTGCTCCACCTTACTCTTGGCTTCTAGTCAAGGAAGGAAATCGACTTCCGTTTGCAGCACCTCCTGTGTGCACAGTGCCCAGGGCTTTGCCAGCCTTCATCCCTGTGAAATCTCCCGTGTGTTTGAGGCCATGTCTTCATGGTGACATTTGCAGCTGGGAAGGCAGGTTGTTTAGGGCAGGTGCTTCCCTGTGACTTTCCCCCTTCGGGGCCCAGCTTGGGGAGCTCAGTGTCCTTGCAGAGTTGGGACTGGCTACTTTGGACCTGGGCCTGCTAAGCAGTGACCTGGCAAACGTGCAAAGGCCTCCCCTTACCTCACACCCCCTCAGATGGAGCCTTGTGCTCGCCTCCATCCAGACGCTTGTCAGTGAGGGAACGGAGCCAGGGGAGGAGGGTGAGGAGCAGAGTCGGCAAATGCCCACTGGGATGACTGTGCAGGAGGGTCCACCCAGGGCCCCTGTGGAGTGTGCGCTGCAGCGACAGCAGTTATTAAAAGTGTTGCTGCTTCTGCCTTCCAGAGGGGGCCCTTGGGAAGGATGCAGGCAGCTGATCCTTACTGAATACACACCTAGGACCCACCACTAGGCTGAGAGCTTGGGGAGGCCATAGCAATGGGGTTGATGGGAGCCTGTGGAAGGTGAAAGGTGGGTGACTACAGTGTAGGGCCACATACAGTGGAGGTGCCATGCGCCCTATAGGGTTACCTGTATCCCTAAAGATGGAGGTGAGCAAGGGTGGTGGTCTTAGCCATGTAGGTAAGACCGATGTCAAGGGCTCAGTCAGAGATATTAAAGGACAGGGGAGCCAAAGGGAGAAGGGAGTATCTCTCTTGGGGGAGAAATCTGGGAAGGCTTTGTGGAGGAGGTGGCATTGGGTCCAGGTTTCAGAAGTGGGAAGGAGTTTAGCAAGCAGAGAGGGAAGGGAAGGGCGTTCCAGGTGGAAGGAATGACCCAGGCAAAGGCAGGGAGGAGGGAGGACAGGAGGCAGCATGTTTGGGTTCTGCTGAAAGTTTTGGAGATCCTTTGGGAGCAGAGCCTCTTCTGTGGAACTCTGATTTTTGTCAGGGTTAAGGTGGCCGGCTTCTGTCCTGGAGACACTGCTGTGCCACCACCCCAGACTCTGTCAAGCCCAGAGTGCCGACCCTTCTGAGGACCCCTCCAAGGATAGCTCATCAGTGGGTTCCTCGGTGGCCGCAGAGCCCAGGGCTGCTCAGGGATACTTTGGGAGGTGGGGCTGGTGGAGGTGAGTCCTGCCCTGAGGGGCCTTCTGAGAACCACAGAGTGGGTGCCTCCAGATTGGTTTTCAGGCAGACCCTCAGTCTCCATGGTTTCTCCAAACATCCAAAGCCTCCAACACTGCACTTTAGATCAGAGGATGGGCTCTGTGGCCAGATATGGCCTGGACAGGCAGAACAGGCCTCGACCATGAGTTCCCACCCTGTCCCGTGCCAGCTTAACCCTGAAACCAGTACCTCTGGGTCTTTGTGAGCCACCGGATGTCAGGCCTGCCGTGGAGAAGGCCTTCCAGAATGCAAGGCCCAGCTGCGGGCCAGAGGCCTCCAAATCCACAATGCTGACATTCTTACTGAGGCCCCCAGTACCCAAAACTGGCATGGGAGGGGATGGTCACTAGACTGGTGTGCGCCTGTGGAGCACCACTGTGTCCCAGACCCTGTACTAGGCACCAGGGATGCAAAGACGGGAAGACCAGCTGCTGCCCTCATCATCCGGTGAGGGAAGGCAAAGCTTGTGAACCACAAACCCTCATGTGAAATTCATGTTTCAGTAACAGCAGATAAAGCATATCATATATCTGAGGGAAATGGCTGGCTCTGAGTGGATGCCTAGGAAGACTTCATCAGGGAGACATTATTTGGTCAGGGACTTGGAGGACAAACAGAAAGGAGATAGGTAGGGGAGGGGGAAGGGGCTCTGAGTGGAATGCCTGGTGGAGGGTGGAGGGCAGATGGCAGAAGGCAGACAGCATGTCCCCGGGGTGAGAGGCTGCGGGCAGAGGGGTCTGGCTCTGGCTGCAGCACTGCTCTCCTGCATGCTCCTTGGCTGTGGAGCATCCAGTGATGTCCAGGGCCCCCACGTCACACCCTGAGGGTCTGTGGTCACTTCTGTTTCAGAGACTCCATCTGAGTGAAGATGTGGCTGGAGCCACCTTCATGGCTGCAGGAAGCTCAACGCCAGAGCTGTTTGCCTCTGTTATTGGTAAGAAATCCCCTCTAGCCTGAGACACAGGATCTAGAGAGTCCGTTTGGTGCCCAGAGCAGTGGGGGCGTTTGTCAGCTCTGAGTCTCACTTTTCTCATCTGTGAAATGGGAGAACTGGAGAGACAGTAAGTAGGTGGGTGGTTTCTTGGGGCATGGGGTGGAGTAGGGTGCTGAGGGGTGATAAAAATGTTCTTTTTAAGGTGATAAAAATAATCTAAAATTAGATTGTGGTTTTGGTTGCATGATTCTGTGAATATACTAAAACTACCGAATTGTATATTTAAATGGGTAAATTTTATAGCAGGCAAATCATATCTGAATAAAGCTGCTCAGAGGAAAAGGGAAGATTGGAGTAGCTGGTCCCCGGCGGCATTTCCACCTCCCTGGTTCTGCCACGGCTTCTGCCATTCTCTTCTGCTCCCCAGATGCTCTGTTTGATAGTAAAACAACCCACTTTCCTGTGAAAGGGGACACTGAGGAAGGGGCAGGCTGGGGTGCATGTCTGAGGCCCAGGGCCTGTGTGTTTCCTTTCCAGGGGTGTTCATCACCCACGGGGACGTCGGGGTGGGCACCATCGTGGGCTCCGCCGTGTTCAACATCCTGTGCATAATTGGAGTATGTGGACTGTTTGCTGGCCAGGTCAGTGGTTTCTCCTCGGGCCTGGCAGACGCATGCCCTGAAGTGTGGGGGAAGAGCCTCTATGACAAGAGGTTGGGGTAGCAGTGGGGACACCCACAGGACAGCTGAGCTGGATTCTGGATATATTTGGGGCCTGGTTTTAGCCTCCCCAACAGGGAGCATGAAGCTGGATTGTCGTTGATACCCCATTCGATATCCTCAGAGCCCCAGGGGAATGTTGGACTTGACCTCAGAGAGGCGGGTCGTGAGTGAGGCCCTGCCTTGCGGAGGGAGATGGAAGTGGGCAGCTGACTGTGCCTGAAGCTGCCAGGATCGGGTGGAGAGGGAGAGCCTCTGGCCTCTGCTGTGAAACACGCACTGTTCTGACCTCAGAGGAATAGGGGGCTGCTTTGCCATGGCTTGAGAACATTACTTGGTTTCATTCTGTTCCCCAAATATAACAAAGAACAAGTGTGGGCTGGAGTTAGGAGGAGGAGCCCTGTGCGTGTGCCCTGCACTGCGGAGGAGAGGAGGCCTGGGCAGTCGCACCCCCTCCTCATCCCCCTGCTCATAGCAGCCAACGGGGCTCTGCCGGCAGGTGGTCCGTCTGACGTGGTGGGCCGTGTGCCGAGACTCCGTGTACTACACCATCTCTGTCATCGTGCTCATCGTGGTGAGTCGCCCCCCCCACCCCCAAGGTCAGGTTGGCCAGGACCCTGCGAAAGCCCAGGACCCCTGCCCATCTCTGCCTCGGCACTGGGACCAGAGAGGACTCACAGCACCCAGTAGTGGGGTGTGCCAGCCACTCACTGTGGTCACAATGAGCAGCCCCCCACCTCCCGCACTATGCCACCCCCAGCACTGTGCCTCCCTTTCCCCAAAACCTCAGACCCCGCACCTTGGTTGTGGAGCAAATCCAGGGGCCATCTTGAAGACACAAAGGCCTCAGAAGCAGACGTCCCACAGCCCGTGCGGTTCAGCTAGGGCACTTTGCTCATCTGGGGCCCTTTTGCTCCCCACGTAGGCCCTGGTTACTCTTTGGTGGGCTTGGTTTTAAAATGCAGAGTTTCTGGCTCTGCTGCCCACAGGGTGGGAGAGGGAGCAGGCCAGCTCGGGGCAGGCAGAGGGAGCAGCTGGGAGCAAGAGAGGAGCCAAGAGGAGAGGAAGAAGAGGAGAGGAGCTCACAAGGGGGCCCTGGACCTGTTGGAGTGATGTGGAGTGTCCCACGTGGGCCCCAAGGGCTGGGGTGACATCATGGCACTTGATAGTGAGGTGGATGGCACAGCCAGATATAGCCAAGGAGCATGTCATCCACAGGGGAGCATTTTAAAACAAAAGAATTTTGAAGTGGAGGAAAGGGACATGTACACAGGGCACACTCAAACTTCAGGGGTGGAATGTGCCTCTGAGTGACAGCTCTCAACCAGACCTAGAGTGAACTTTATATAGACAGTCATGTCCCCTGTATTAGTGCCCTATTGCTGCATAACAAATTTCCCCAAAACTCAGCAGTTTAAGCCAAAGATTTATTATCTCCCACTTTCTGTGGGAAAGCGGTCAGAAATGGTATAGCTGGGTCCTCTAGGCCAGGTCCTCTGCTAAGCTGCAGTTAAGGCATTAGCCAGGGTAGCATCATCACAGAGCTTGGTGGGCGGGGCTGCTCTTGCAGGGTCACTCATGTGGCTGTGGGCAGGCCTTGGGCTGCTGGCTGTTCCACAGGGCAGCTCTCAGCTGGGTTGCGGGCTTCCCTCAGAGCAAGGGCCAGAGGCACCAAGATGGAAGCCACAGCCTTTTCCTAACCTGCTTTCGGGAGTGATACCTGCCACGTGTGCAGTATTCTGTTTGTTAGAAGCAAGTCACCAGGGGCAGCCCACGTGCTAGGGAAGCATGAATGTCATGCAGTGGGAGCATGGGGACCCCCTACAGGCTGCCTACCACACCCTCCAAAAAGTAGATGTCTGAGATGATTCTACAGATGAAACAATCTACGGATACACGATTTCAAACAGGTCAGCATATGCCCTAACTATAATATAAAGGAGAAATAAATGTAATTTATAATAAAAGAATACATCTTTCAGTATGTAAATGGTTTGGCATGAAGAAGCCAGGAGAGCCAATGAAGGGATTGGTTCCCTCCTACACAAAAACAATCTCTGAGACCGTCTAGTACAAATGCAGACTGATGCCCAAGTGTTGGGCTGTCTCCTAAACCCCGTGGGTGGTGCCGATGTTGATGATGTGATTTTCCACAATAATGAACGACTCCTGATAAAATTCCAAACAGAGCAAAGTATAATCATTCCTTAATTTGCATGACAGTTACCTTATTAGAAAATTAAGGATTCACTAAAATGATGTAAAAATTCTTTGATTTACAAAAATGAAGTGAAGGCCGGGTGTGGTGGCCCATGCCTGTAATCCCAGCACTTTGGAAGGCCGAGGCGGGCTGATCACTTGAGGTCAAGAATTTGAGACCAGCCTGGCCAACATGGTAAAACCTTGTCTCTACTAAAAGTACAAAAAATAGCCGAGTTTGGTGGTGCATGCCTGTAATTCCAGCTACTTGAGAGCCTGAGGCAGGAGAATTGCTTGAACCTGGGAGACGGAGGTTGCAGTGAGCCAAAATCACGCCACTGCACTTCAGCCTAGGTGACAGAGCGAGACTATGTCTCAAAAACAAAAAAAAGATACACCCTCCAACACACACTTGCACACCACATATACACATGCACACCCCATACACACACAAACACCATGCACACACAAGCTATCTTTCAGTCTTTGAGATTTCTTGCTTATAGCAATTCTGTTCCATGAATGAGGGGAGGCTTCTGCCAGGTTAGCCCCCAGTAGCTACTTGGACTGTTATAAAGCACAGGACATATCTCTGAGGGTGGCTGTGCTAAGCTGGGGCTATGTAATACAGTACACTGCTGGCCTAGGCTACACTAAGGAAAGGCCTGTAGGTGAGCAGCTCAGAAATGGATCCATAACACATATAACAAGGCCAGTATACGTTGGCTCTGGGTGCCTGGGTGTCTGTGCTTGTTCTTGTTTGGAAATAAATATGTCCCACCCACCTCAACTCTGTTTCTTTTGCCTTACAGTTCATATATGATGAACAAATTGTGTGGTAAGTTTTTCAAGTGTATTTTTCATTGTTCTTTTTTGTTGTTGTTTCCAGTATCCTTGTTTGTTGGGTTCCCTGAATCTTTTTAAACATTATTTTCATAAACTTAAGCTTATCAACTTGTGAAAGTAGAAAAAGATATCATTCTAAGCAATCATGCCTTTCTTTATCCTGTCAAAGTGTGAAAAATTGTTTCCCTTAATAGTCCTGTCCTGCTAGGTGTCACGATGTGTTATAAAGTTAAAATTCTGAAAACAGTATGGTATTTTGCAAAGGGATAAGCATGGGCCAATATGGAATGTATTAATGTGCCTATTTCTGGAATGGGGGATATTGCAGAGATGTCATGATAAGGCAGTGAGTTAGGAATAGAGTCTTGAATGCTGCAGGGACAACTGGGAATCCACACAGAACAATACAACATCAGATCCCTACCTCACACCTTATACAAAGGTAAACTCCAGGTGATTTGAAGATATTACTGTAAAAATGAGACTTTTTAGAAAATGTCAAAAGAAAATATAGAGACTTATCTTTAAGACACTGAGGTAGGAATTAATTTCTTAATTAAGATACATGACCCAGCATGGTGGCTCACACCTGTAATTTCAGCTACTAAGGAGGCTGAGGTGGGAGGATGGCTTGAACCCAGGAGTTTGAGACCAGACTGAGCAACATAGTGAGACCCCATCCACCAAAACAGATACATAAATCACAAACTTCTGAGGAACAGGTTGATGTTTCCATTCTATTTGATAGCATGGGAATGCATCTGACATTCATAACTCATAAACATTTTCTTTTGATTGCCAACAATTCAGAATCTGCATGCATCCTGTATGATTTTTTTTTTTTTTCCCGAGACCCAATCTTACTCTGTCGCCCAGGCTAGAGTGCAGTGGTGCCATCTTGGCTCACTGCAACCTCTGCCTCCTGGGTTCAAGTGATTCATGTGCCTCAGCTTCCCAAGTGGCTGGGACTACAGGTGCATGCCACCACACCTGGCTAATTTTTTAATTTTTTGTAGAGATGGGGTTTCACCATGTTGGCCAGGCTGGTCTTGAACTCCTGGGCTCAAGTGACCCACCTGCCTTGGCCTCCCAAAGTGTCTGGATTACAGGCTGCATCCTGTATGATTATTTATGGAAATAGAGTCAGACAATCAGGCTGAGGACATCAGCTACCTGCCCTGAGCAGGTGTGTGCTATGGGCCCCCAGAAACCTGGTTCTGGTCCTATCCTGGCCCGTAACCTGCTGTCTGGCCCCAGGAAAGCCTCTGAACTCCTGGGTCTCATTTTTGTCATCTGTAGACAGGGTTGGGATGGCAGTGGTTCCATGATCTGGAGGTCAGCAAAGGAAGAGCTCCCAAAACAACTGTAGCCCATGCTGGGCACATAATGGGCTTTGGTTTATACATGTCAAGTGGATGAACAAGCTAAAGCTTGTGTGCTCCGCCAGGGGCTTGTGGTCAGAGCTACGAAAATCCCCACTGCTAATGGGATTGGGTGGGGTGCACCAGAGGGTAGTAATGGTGCATCCCAGGAAGACCCCAACCCTTCCATGCCCAGCATAAGGCCCGGGAGACTCCTGTGCCACCTGCCGCATATTCAGTCAGCTCTCAGGCCCTACTTCCAGGACTTGGGCCCCTTTCCACCCACACCCACAGCTTCTCTGGCTCCTGCCCAGAATCTTGGGTGATCACAGGGTCTCTCAGGGTTGAGTTTGCGTGACTTCAGGCCACTAGCCTCCATGAATCCTGGGACATGGTGGCCCTAGTCCCTCCTTTTTCTAGGAAGCTGGGGGAACCCCACCTCTGTCCTGCAGACCTCTATAGTTGAGAAGAGACCTTTCAGCTTTTCTTGCTTGATCATCAAGAGGGCTGCTGGTGGCAAGACAGCCACAGGCTGGGGGATCTCTCTCACATGCCCGGGTTCTGGGCCCGGCACTAGGGGCGGGGGAGGTAAAGACATCCGGCCCTCCTCCACTCCTGGACCCCTCAGTCCCAGCCTTCACCTGCCCCAGGCCCCGAGCTCTAACCGCAATCTCCTTTCTCTCTTTGAGGTGGGAAGGCCTGGTGCTCATCATCTTGTATGTGTTTTATATTCTGATCATGAAGTAAGTGCCCTTTCTCTTCCCTGGGGCTGCCGACGCCTTGCCCCGCTGCTTGCTATAGCCTTTTGTGACAGCAGGGAGAAAAACATCTGTCAGATCTTCATCCTTTGAGGCCAGCCCCAGCTGTCTGGGAGACGCCCTGCTGGGGCACAGCTGGAGTAGGGGAGGGGTGTTAGATGCTGTTCGGGGGGTGCCGTCCACACTGAGGCCAGGGGAATCATGCAGGTGGCTGATGTGTGGACCACAGGGCTGCTCCCCAAATAAGTAGTATGCAAGGACCTCCTTCCCTCCCTGCTCTGGGCAGCTTCTCCATGCCCCAGGGTAACCACTCACTTGTGCTATCTCTAGAAGCCTTCTGATAATTTAATACCACTCTTTTCAAAAAGCCAGGCAGATTAACCTCTGCCCCAGGCTTCATAAAATGCCACTTTTCTGGGCCAGTGCTTTGCACAACTGCAGCCACTGATAGTACTGAGAATGGAAACTCAGGCTATGCAACCTTGAGCCCCTCCAGAAGCTACCCAGGTCAGAACCATCTCAAAACTACCCACGAGGAATACTATGCAGCCAGAAAAAGGAATAACGTTCTGACAGGCTACAACATGGATGAACCTGGAAAACATTATGCTCAGTGGACGAAGCCAGTCACAAAAGGACAAATATTGTCTGATTGCACTTACATGAGGGATCTAGAAGAGCCACATTCATAGAGGTGGATCAGAGGTCAGTGCAGGCGGCTGGGGAGCAAAGAAGGAGGAATTAATGATTAGCGGGAACAGTGTTGTTGTTTGGGATGATACAAATGTTTTGGGAACCGTGCTGATGGTTGTAGAACAATGCGAATGTAATTAATGCCACTGTATTGTGCACTTAAAAAGGGAAAGTAGTTAGAATGGTCAATTTTATGACATATATTTTTTTCCCACCCCACACACACACACACACACACACACACCCCTACTCATGAGCTGAGCCACGTTCAGGTTTATCTTCCTCCTCGTACCTGGATACGTAATTAAAAAGACAACACTCTGAGTTTTATGAGGATATAAATCCCACATTTATATAAAACATTTATAATGTTTTATAAAAATGGGTGATAAACTGTCAGACTGCAAGAGCATTATCCTTAAATGATCTCCAATCTGAGTGCCTTTCAGTAGGAGCCCGCCTGAGGTTCTTTGAGATGGAGAGACTCTTCCCTCAGGGGTGATGGCAGTGCTGGCTGTGAGTGGTGCAGGGGCTGCCCGTGAGCATCCTGGGAGCAAGATCTGCTGCTGGGGGAGACAGGACAGGTCTGGTAATGCCCCCTGCGAGACTGCTCAGAGGCGAGGTCGAGCTTCCTTTATTAGGACAGGCTCCATTAAGTAAGCCTCAGTCATCTTCTTGGCTGAAAGGTTTCTCATGCCCCCGGGAAGCCCACCAACAGCTCAATGGGAGCAGGTGCCCCCAGACAACACAGTGTTCCCAGGTCCCTGTCAGGAAACTGTCAGCCCGGTTGAAAAGCCGAGGCTCCACACCTCCCCTGCCACCCGCCACTCCTGCTCTGTGCTGACTGCGCGCAGGGATGGGGTGTGATCCCCCACTGCCCAGTCCGTGGGAATCCTCTCCACTGCCCTGACCTCCTGCCTCCCTCACTTCCAGGTACAATGTGAAGATGCAAGCCTTTTTCACAATCAAACAAAAGAGCATTGCAAACGGCAACCCGGTCAACAGTGAGCTGGAGGCTGGTAATGATTTCTATGACGGTAGCTATGATGACCCTTCCGTGCCATTGCTGAGGCAAGGTAAGGCTGAGCAGACAGGAGTGGGCAGAAATGTGTCCTGGAAGCCACTCTCTCCTTCTCTTTTGTGTACACACACACACACACACACACACACACACACACAGCCTCTCACAATGTCCCCCCTCTAAATTGTCACTCTCTTCCCTTTGACCGCAGGTGCCCTAAGTGAGGAGCGAGAGTCAGTATGGGAGATGGGGTTTTGCTTAGGTGGGGCAGGGGTAGAGGGAAGTACAGCAGGAAAGAGAAAAACCACAGCCACGTTTCTGGGAGCTTTCCCACGCCTTCTGGGGAAGGCGCAAGGCCTGTTTGGCTCTTCAGAATGCCGTGGGGTCCCTGACCCATGTGCGGGCCCACGACAGGAAGCTGAGGAGCTGGGGCGGCAGAGCCAGCCTGGGCCTCCCTACAGTTTCTCAAATGCCAGGCCCAGTCCTGGATGGAGAAGGGCTCTGGACAAAGCACCGGTTCTCAGGCTGGGAACTGTCGCCCGGAGCAAGAACAAGGCCAGTAAAAGGCAGACACGAAGCTGGGCAGGCATCCCCAGGCCAACCTCAGAGAGCCCCGCCAGGGAGCCCCTTCCCCTGGGGCAGCAACCTTGTCTCATCCGCAGCTCTTTGGCCTTCTTGTCTGGGAACTGGGGGTCTGGGCCTCCAGAGCCATCTCCTGTCATGTCTTACCGAATTCTCTGAATCATCTGCACCTGACTGACGGCCTCTTTGGAAACCTGAATAATCCAAGGCCAGTGACCAGGTGGCTCCCTTTGTGGAGGCAGCTGCCGGGAAGGAGAGAGCGTTCACGCTAGCCCAGATCAGTGGCAGAGCCTGGGCTGGTTCTTGCAATCAGTATGGAAAAACAGGTCTGAGCGCCACCCTCGGTGTTGGGCAAGGCCTTCACCAGGTGAGCGCCTTGCACTGGTATCTGGGGGCTCTTTCCCCCCCATTCTCCATGGCCTGGGGCTAATCAGGTGAACTCTTTTGTGATGTCACTGGTGGGACCAGGTGGTCTCAGATGTGTCTGGGACATCTGGGGGTGGAAGCTGTATTTCTGGGCCCCTTCTCCAGTTATCTTCCTGGGGCCGATGAGGGCATGGCTTCCTCCCATGTGCATTTTGGGAGTCTGTTCTGCCCTGTCTCAGGCAACCCCCAAGAGGGAGGAGTCTCTCCATATAGAAGGAGGAAGCCTGCTAGGGCGGCGGGGTGCGGTCCAGGCCACAACCTGGCTGCGGAGGCCCACCCACAAAGGGCAAAGCTGAGGAGCTGATGAGCGTGGAGTTTGGTTCGTGTGTCGTTTCGTAAATGCCGAGCAGGCTACCCCAGGGGAAGCCCGTTTCCAGGACAACCTCAGAAGGGGAAGGAGCCATGCGGGCTGCTATGTCGGATTTTAACTCTATGGGCGTAGTGGCCCCAAGGTGGTCCCCAAACACAGGCTGGCAGGACAGAGGCTGGTTGCTGCCCTGTCGTATATATAGTGCTCCTGGGTCCTCTGGGCCTTCGTGGCGAGGAAGAGAAGTACTGTGTGCTGAGTTACTCAGCCTGGTGGGAGATGCCCACCCAAGAGCCGCCTATCACCCTGTGGCCAACCCAGGAGACCCCCCAGGACCCTGCAGGAAGCACTTCTCATTCGCAGCATGGGGGCCTCAGCTCCTCAGTTTCTCAGGGCGACCCAGGCTCCCAGAGGCCACTGTCCACACGGTGCCTTTTCTGGCACTGCTGTGACTGTCTCCGCCACTCTGTGCCTGTGACAGTAGCACTTCCTTGCAAGTTTATTTCCTCCCAAATCTCTTTAAGTCCAGGACATTTTCTGGAAAACTGGAAGACTGGACACGGGACTGCCCCCAAGCACTGGGGAAGGAGGCAGAATCCCATCTTCCTGCAGCTTTTATCAGAGGGAATGTATTTGGATAAGGGCCCAGGGAGAAAGTCCCCAGAGAGTGTGAAGGGAAGTGGGGTGCGGGCCTGGACGTCTGGAACTGGAGAAAGGGGAGACCTGGAGAGGCAGACGTGGGGATTTCTTCACACCACTTTTTACTGCCCCTCTCATAAGAGGTTCCCAGAGGGCCATGTGTGAGTCACTGCTCTGCACTGTCCCCTGCGTAGACTCAACTGAAGCAGGAGGAAGGAGCCCCCGGTGACACCCCGGGCGGGACTGGGGAGGCCAAGGCTTTGGGGCCTTTCCTAAGGGCGGTGTCATGGACTCTTAGCTGGAGATGACATCGGAGTTTCTCTGCCTGTGCCCAGCTCCAGGCAGGTCGCCGTGTGGCCACCCCACCCAAAGGAAGGCACAGGGTGCTGCCTGGGAGATTCTCTCAAGAGCACTCTCTCAGGCCCGAGCGAGCTGTTCTCAGTTTTTGTGTTTCCCACAGAAAACCCGAAGTTTTATCCTCCAACTCCTTGACGGGAAAAGTGGGGAGAAAGCTTTTTCCCCATCGCACTGATAAAAGGCCTTTGAGTACTGAAACGTTCTTAAAGGCTGTGTGGCTCAGCTCACCCAAGCAGCCTCCTGGTGCTTCTCAGGTGGCCTGGAACACAGCCTGGACCACCTGCCTGCCAGCCTCGCCTGAGAGGCGCACTGTGGACCCCTCTGGGCTGCCCCGGCCCTGGGCACAGCCTTGGTTTATAGTGGGGAGAGTTGGGGGTGATGCCTGACCTTGGGCTGAACTGCTGGGAGAATGTGCTGTCATTGAGTTCTTTTCTGGGCAGCCACCCTGGGCGTGGGCACACACCCTTGTTCTGTCGTTGGTCGGGGGCACCAGGACAAGGTGTCCTGGGAGCCAGGCATCCTGGGGAAGGAAGGAGAATCCCATCTTCCTGTAGCTTTTATCAAAGTGAATGCATTTAGATAAGGGCCAAGGGAGAAAACTGCCTAGAGAGTGTGGAAGGAATTGGGGGGTGCAGGCCTGGACTCCTGGAATTGGAGAAGGGGGAGGCCTGACTCTTGTCTCACAGACTCCAGGCTCCCTCCTTCTGAGCCCACTTGTTCCCCGAGCAGTACCTGGCCTGGGGCGGGTTCTGTAGGATGGAGCCTGAGGCCTGCGGTTTCTGTGGGTTCCACCTCCCTCTGGGATGGAGGCTTCTGAGCAGGGAGGGATTCGAGCTTTTATGCAGCAGTGAGGGGCTAAGGGCATGAGCTGTCGGGGGGCTCCTGCTTCTCAAAGTGGAAGCAGAGCCATCGAATCAGCCAGGACAGGAGCCGTCCCGAAGGCCAGAGGCCCCGAGGATTGAAGCTCCCATAGAAGGAGCCCGCTACTAACACCCTCCAGCACATAACCCCTGGCATCTTCGCCACCACCAAGAGTGCTGCCCCAGACTCTCGGCATCCACCGCACGCTAATCGTCTCTGGCAGTCTCTGTTGGCCTTTGTCTCCTTAACTCTCCTCCTCTTCTAAATTGTAAGTAGTCAGCTTTCGTCCACGCGATAACACCTGCATTTCAAGCAAAACAAACAACCATAAGCCCGGCCCACCGATGCGCCGCGTGCCTCGTTAGAGGTTAGCGTCCGTCTCTGACGAATGCATGTTCTCCTGGCTTTGTTTTCTAACCCACACGCCTCCTGTCTGCTGAGCCTTGCTGCCTGTTTGGTGAGGAGTGTGTGTGTGTCTGGTGTGCATTTCTGCATTTTTGTGCTATTAACTCTTGCACGGGTTTGCTCTCCGGACCTATTCCCTGGTTACCCTATAACCCATACAGGACACACCAGGAGCTGGTAACCAGTGCAGAGGGACAGTTGTATCCATTTTTATAGCCCTTTGGAGGGGAACAGTCTGCCTGCTTCTGCATGCTGTGTTCATGAGCAGTTTTGTAACTAGACCCTCCTAGGGATCTGGAGTCAAATGTTAAATTCCCAAGGATACCAGCACGGTGCAGGTTTATGAAGATGGCAAGGAAGAGGTCTGGGGACAGGGAGTTTTGTTCCTCCCCATTGTGAGGGGAAGGAAGGGGTCAGAGAGACCAGCCTCCCTCTGGAGGGTGTCAGGGTTTATAGTCACTGGGCTCAGCCAGCAGCTCACCGTGCACCCTCAAACAAGCAGGCTCCTCTCCTGGGTCTCAGTTGCCTGTCTAGGTCCCATGATCTAAATCTTTGACCTCACTACTTGCCCTGTACAGAACAAAGTTACAAGCATCCTCTCCTGCAGACAGAGTAGGTGGCCTCGTAGGAAGTTCAGAGCCAGTGCCCGCTGCTCTGCAACATTTTCCACCCCGGGGACCCTTGTCAGTTTGCAAAATTTCATCGGAGCCTCTGTAAACGGGGGAAAGAGAGGTCCCCTCATAGTCGTGGGTGAAAAGTGGTAGGCCCCTGTCTGTATTGTAGGTTGGCTGCCCTGGTAAGGCTTAGATAAGGAACTGAAAGACCCTCGTAATTAGCCAAGACTGGGTCCCGGAAAAGAGGGGAGAAGAGCATCAGTTGCCCATGAGTGGTCCTGGAGCAAGGGGAACCACTGGGCTTCACACACTAGGTCAGCAGGTGTTTCAAAGCCGGTGATCCACTTTGCCTGACATGAGGAGTTGAAGCCAGGCATCCAGACTTCCAGGTGGCTGCCAGCTGCCAGGACCACAGCCTAGGGCAGCTCACAAGGCAAGGGGAAGTCAGTGGCCCCAGCACTTGGGTGTTGTCCTCAGAGAGATCAGCACTAATCACAGTGTTGTGCTCAATAGTGAAGGAGAAGCCACAGTATGGCAAGAATCCCGTGGTGATGGTGGACGAGATCATGAGCTCCAGCCCTCCCAAGTTCACCTTCCCCGAAGCTGGCTTACGAATCATGATCACCAATAAGTTTGGACCCAGGACCCGACTACGGATGGCCAGCAGGATCATCATTAATGAGGTGAGTTTGCTTGAAGGACCATAAAGGTGAGCAGCCTTGAATGCAGGAGGCCCTGGCTTATTAGGGCTCTTCCTGGTGTCATTGATCACTGCACCTGTTTAAGGAAGGATGCCCTGGGGCTTCCAGAAGCCTGCCCATCACCCACAGGCAGCAGATTATCCTTTGAAGAGATATTTTAAAGCCTGCAGCAATCGAATACCATGCCTGAGATATTTCACTAAGTATTTTGTCAGGCACTAGAGTAGAACTAATTGGAGAAAGGCCAGCCTGAAGTATGGATTGTTTCTTTAAAATGTTATTTAGAGCAAAACAAAAAAGATGAGTTCACACCTGTTCTCTGTGGACAGAACAACTCCAGAAGAAAACCTGAGACACTAATGAGCAGCAGTGACCTCTGAGGCTTCCTTTTCACTCTTGCTGTGTTTAAATGGGGTGCTTTTACTTCTCATTTGCAGAGATAATAATTTTAATATTATTTAATGTATAAACAGTATAGCAAAGATAGGGTCATTGCTCACCAACTTTTCCAGGCTTTGTTGCGTGTATCATTTTGGAATTTTAAGTCCTTACTCTGAGAAGCAGATGGGTTGGTAGACTTCAAACTGTGAGTGCTGATAATTAATAGTTAACACATAGATTGTATGAAAGAACGATATTTCACAGTGCCTACAGGTTCTATATTATAAACATTTGTCTTTGATTTCATGTGTACTGTGCCCTCTCTGTAGAAAGTATATTAAGAAAAGGAAACACCTTTCCAAAGCTTTGAATCATTGCAAATCATTTTGGTCCAATTCAGTGAAATTTGAATCAATGAAATTTGACTGAATCCGGGGCATCTTTCATATATGTGTTAATTGTACCCACTGGGTGCTGAGGGTAGGGAGGGTTGAATAACTTTTAAGGATTTAGAGATTGGGGTTTATAGAATATTTTTCATGGCATATATAGCCGGGAAAGGAATAGGTTTTGGTAAGTTGCTGAGATACTGGTTATTATGCCCTAAATGTGCTAAGCTGCTGGGAAGACTTTATCTTCCACTATGTTGTGATTGAACTACCTGGAAGGCAGCATGGAGAGCTGGAGAAGCCGGGTCCAGAGGAAGGAATTCTGAGCTTTAATCTCACATCAGCCACTAGCCCACTTAATGTGAGGGTATTGAACAGGATACTTTTAGCTCTAAAAATTTCAGTGACACACACTGAAAGGGTGTATGTCCACAAAAGACATGTACACAAATGTGCATAGCTGCAGTCTTCATAACAACCAAAAAGGGGAAACTATCTAAATGCCCATCAATAGGCAAAGCCATATCGTGGGTTATTCATATAATAGAATACTACACAGTCATGAAAAATAACAAACTGCTGACTCTTGCGACAAGCTGGGTGAATCTCATGGCTACTGGTTGCCTGAAAGAAGCCAGTCATAAAATACACAGTAATACTTGTATCCATTTATATGAAGTTCAAGCTCAGGGAAAACTAATCAATGTTTACAAAAGTCAGCATAGTGGTTGCCTTGGTTACCTCTGGAGTAGGGGTATATAGACTAGGAAGGTGCCTGGGGGGAGTCTTTGAAGGGGCTGGAAATGTTATACATCTTGATGTAAAACATCATTAAGTTGTGCACTTAGTGTAAGTGTACTTTTTTTTTTTTTGGACAGAGTCTTGCTCTTGTTGCGCAGGCTGGAGTACAGTGGCATGATCTCAGCTCACTGCAACCTCCACCTCCCGGGTTCAAATGATTCTCCTGCCTCAGCCTCCTGAGTAGCTGGGATTATGGGCGCTCACCACCACACCCAGCTAGTTTTTGTATTTTTAGTAGAGACAGAGTTTCACCATGTTGGTCAGGCTGGTCTTGAACTCCTGACGTCAAGTGATCTGCCCACCTTGGCCTCCCAAAGTGCTGGGATTACAAGCATGAGCCACCACACCCGGCAGTGAGTGTACATTTTGTATAATGTGCCTAAAAAATTAAAAATTACAAAATACATGCAGGGCCTTTCCTGTGGCCATCTTCAGGCAGCTATGAACGTCGCCAAGGAGAGCCCTGAATAATGGCTGTTACCAGTGTCATGGGCTGGGCTGTCCAGCTGGCACTAGGAAGGGGTGGCCCAGGCCCTCTGATAAATCCTCAAAGGCTTCCTGGTAACCATACAAATGGAAATGACCACACTTAGAAGGATTCCAAGGTCCTGGGGCTGATTCTCAGGCAAACCTGTCCCCAGGGATGCTGTTCTAGGCACCTGTAAGAGCAGGGTGCATGTGAGGAACCCAGCGTATAGCAATAGCATGATGCTTTATCACATGCCTTGCCTCCTGTCCACACAGCGGCAGAGACTGATCAACTCGGCCAACGGTGTGAGCAGCAAGCCGCTTCAAAACGGGAGACACGAGAACATTGAGAACGGGAATGTTCCTGTGGAAAACCCCGAAGACCCTCAGCAGAATCAGGAGCAACAGCCGCCGCCACAGCCACCACCCCCGGAGCCAGAGCCGGTGGAGGCTGCCTTCCTGTCCCCCTTCTCCATGCCGGGTATGTTCTGGGGGTGCTGGACTCTCGGACTACTTTTTGGGGGCTCCATTGGGACCAAGCCCAGGTCTTCAGCATGGAGGCATGGACCTGTAAGGGCGGCACAGGGCTGGTGCAAAGGGTCGCTATTAGGTCACTGGAATGCTTAGGAGGCGAATCTGTCCTCAGTACTGAACTGTGGATTGGAGCTGTAATGAGGTGCTGGCACTATCAAGTTCAGCAAGAACCTTGGGCCAGAGAGCAGGGCGGCTGGAGGCCTGGGGAGCACCAGTGACCCCTAGTGACCACATTTAAATGTTCAGGGCAGTCGATCTTTCGTGCTAAGGAAAAGCAGTCTACAATGTTATTTTTAGGGACATTCTTGCACTCTCTTGGCCCTTGCAGCAGGCCATTTTGCCTATGTATTTCTTTATTTGCTGGGACAGGAGATTCTAAGGCCACAAATGATCCTTAGACAGTCATACCTTGTGTATTTGAAGATATCTCCTACCCATAAATAAGTCCAATCAGACTGAGGCTCTGCAGCAAGCCCTCCAGGATCCTCCCGTCTCACTTGGAGTCTGAACTGCGAGGCCCATGTCATCTGACTGCCTACTCCTGCTGACCTCAGCTCCTGTTCTTCTCCCTCTCCTGGCCTCTGCTGCAGTCACAGCGGCCTCCGCACTGTCATTCCTAGAACACACCAGGTGTGCACCTGCCCCAGGACCTTTGCACCTGCCCTTTGCTGGAATGCAGTTTCCCCAGGTATCCACATGCTCACTTCCTCACCTTCTTCAGGTCTCTGCTTAAATGTCACTTTTTCACTGTGACCTTCCCTGACTACCACATTTAAAATATTTTATCTGTTTCTTGTGTCTCTTGCCCCCACTAAACTGTCAGCTCCACAAAGCAGGTACCTCTGTCTGCTGCATTTATCTGCATCCCCAGTACCCAAGACTGGCCACATAGTAGGGGCTTAGTAGGTATCTGTCAAATGAATGGATCCAGGTATTCATGTGCGAGAGGATCCCAGGACCCACCCCGTCTGCCTTGGTCTTTAACTAAGTCTTCCGTGAGGTCCTCTGAAGTCCTGAGTGGGAAACAAAGGCCTGAGCTAAGCTGTTTGGCCCCATTCTTGGAGGTGTTTTTCCTGGTGTCCACCAACCTGAAAGGAGGCGAGATTCCAGAACTTTCAAGTCTAGAATTTGATGTTTTCTGAAAAGAATTCTGTGTTTAACATCAGGCTCACGGAGTACCTGATTTGGGAGGTGACTCTGGAGGGCCAGAGGCTGTCCTGCCTCTTGTTCCATCTTGATGGGACACCTGCCTGCAGTAGATTGCATGGGCCTGGCAGGCTAGGATGCCCTGTCCCCTGCTTTCATGCTTCGGCATGAAGATGCAGGCTTCGTTTAGGATCACGGAGCTTCCCTGGAGTTTCTGAGTTAGAGAGATTCTCTGGGTTACAGAGATTCCAGGGCATGCTCATTGCAGCTACCCAGGGGCTCTTCCCAAAATGCCAGGCCTGGTTCTCAACCTGCACATTCCAGAGCCTGGAGCAGGACCTGGGGATCTGCATTTTCAATCCCTCTCCCTTTGCTCCCTGGGACCTGGCTGGGTTCAGAATTGTTGGCCAACACCTCCCAGGCTTTATTCACATTCAGGGCAGGCTCAGAAAATGAAATGTGTTCCCTGACTGAGGTCACAGAGGAGCCCAGCCCCGGGGTTCAGGCCTCCCAGGCCTCCTTTGCTGACCAGAAGGCCGAGGGGATTGGTGTCTCAGCCCGTCTCAAACGTTTCCCTGGCACGCCCGCACAGCTGCCCACATGCTCTGTGGGGAAGAAGGGCCCTGCTCAGCCAGTCTGGCTGGTGGGGAGAGAGGTCACGCCATGCTTGGGTCAACTCAGCCACCAGGGCTGTGTGTGGGACATGGAGAGCAGGAGGGGTGGTCTCCAGATCCCAGATCCCCTTCCCAATTACCTGTTTGGATGCACCAAGTGAGGGAAGATTTCTACATGGCAGGGCGCTGGGAGGGCAATGTGTCCACCCATAGAACCAGCTCATGGTGATGAACCAGGACGGGCCCTGTCTTCATAGAAGGTCCAGGCACGGGCCATGATTTGAGCCTTGGGTACCCATTACATTCGCAAGTTATTGCACCCCCAGCTCACTTTCCCTCCTGTGTCCCCTGGGGGCTGGGGAAAGGTCAGAGCTGCAGTCACTGAAGGAATTTCGGTTCTTTTGGGCCTGGAGACCGGATGTCAGGGAGGACCAGAGTGCCAGAGCAGGCTGCATTGAGGGAGATGCAACCACAGTCCAGGAAACAGCCAAGCTTATGAGGGGTGGGGCGAGGAGGAGCGACTTGCCGTCTGGAGAGTTCTATGTGCCCCTTCTCCACCCCATGAGGTGGGTGGCAGAATCCCCATTTTGCAGATGTTGGGCCTGAGGGGGCCACAGCTACCACTGCCCCACACTGGCCACTTCACCTGAATCCTGGTATCGAGGCTGTCCACTATCCAGGCGCTGCAGGAAAACCAGGGGAAGGGATGTGCCCTTTTTGGTCATCCTTACCTAAGCAGGTCAGCCATGGGTAAGGATGCCTCATCTTCCTATTCCTTAAGCCCAGAGTTTGACAGGATTGTGCAGGGAGGACCCCGGACCAGCCACGCCTTCGCCTTGTCCTTGTACTGGGAGCTGCTGCTCCGTAGAGAAGTGGCAGTGCGGACTCTGGACAGGTCACTTCCCAGGGTCCGGGGCTTAGAATGCAGCTGTCTTGCAAGGGCTGGAACCAGATGGCTCCTGGGTCCCCCCTCCCGGCTCCCAGGTTCTCTGCACCCCTGAGTCCTCCTCTGAGGGGCTCTGCCCTTGCTTGGGGGCAGGACTTCCTGCTATATAGTGGCCCGCCTTCTTCCTCAAGCCAGAGGTTCCAGGCTATTCCCCTGGGCTCAGTGCATCCCTGAGCCAAGTTCAGCACGCTTCCTCTGAGCGAGTGTCCTCCCTGCCCTCAGGAACAGGCCTCAGCTTCCTGCATCCCAGGAGAAACCTCCTTTGTGTGTCTGCGGATGTGTTTCCAGTTGTTGTCCCTGGAAACCACAAGTGGCTTCCTTTTCTTCTTCCTCCCTTTCCCCTGTGAGGAGCAGAGGGTAGGAACGGAGTTGTACAGCTGCTGCTCGTTTAGGTGTGTACAGCTGCCTAGGAAAATTGAGGCCCGGGGTGGGCAGAGGTTAACAGGAAATTGGAACAAGTCAGTGAGACTCCGCCCCCGACAGAAATGCCCTGTATCCAGCTCCCGGCCCTGCCACCACCCACCTCACCCCACCCACCCCTTGTTCAGGTTTCACAGTGGCTGCAGGATGGCTTTGAGGGTGTTTCTTAAGGGTGGATGGAGTTAGCGTTTTCCAAAGCTGGGGCACTGGAAGGAATCACAGGACCAGGGGAGGAATCACAGGGCCAGGGGCCACCGGAAGAGGGAGAAGCCACCCTGCTGGGGAGCTCAGAACCAGCATAGCTTTGGGTGTCAAGGAATGAGTCTAGCCTCATGCCGATGTGCAGCTCTTGTGTGTTGCGAAGGACAAGCTGGGAGTCCAGCTGTGGAGTCCAGCAGTCCGGGGTTCAAATCTCAGTTCTGCCACTCACCAGCAGGGTGAGTCTGGGCAAGCTCCTTCACCTCCCTAAACCTCCATTCCTCATCCACAAAGTGGCGGGTGATGGCATCTACCTCCCGGGGTTGATCTGAGTAGCAAATCAGATACTTTAGTCAACTGTGCACCATGTCTGGCACACAGTAGGTGCTCAGCAAATGTTAGTGTGAATCCTAGTGTGCTTTAACCACGTGGCTTCTGTTACCCTCTCCTTTTGGGACTACGGGGTTCTAGAAAGATCATAGGTTCCAGAATCCCTGGGGGCCTGGGACGATCGGTCATTCCAGGGCTCAAGGCGAGGGAATTACCGTGTACCAAGCACCTATTATGTCCCAGGTCTGAGCTTCAGGCAGTTTGCAGACAAGATGATCCTCTCAGTCAGTAAATAGTTGGGGCCCAGGCTCTATCCTGGGCTTTGGGGATCCGGTAGGAAGAGGACAGCCATGGTCCCTGCCCTCTGGGAGCTTCCAGGCTTGCAGAGCAAATCTGAGCAGATGACCACACGATGTGCTGTATACATTGTCTCTGCCCCTAGGATACAGCTGATAAGTGGGGAGGTGGGAGGCCACAGCCTGCTCCCTCCTTGCGAGCCCCAGATGAGGGGTTACTGGGATTGCCAGGGTAGAGGCCAACAGCATCAGTGGGACCTGGCTCCAGTGCCCACCTATCCTGATGGTGGATTTACAGGTGGACACCCAATATAGGCAAACTCTTCCCACTTTAGACCGCAGAGGCTGGTAATTAGGCCTCCCAGGGGTGGGTGTGGGTGGGGGGAAAAAGAGGAAGAGGAGCTTTCTCCCATGGAAACCGTGGTCTGCAGTGCTGGCACTGCCCTGAAATGGTCAGCAATGACCCTGAGCTGCAGCCCAGCTGGGAAAGGCTCCTGGTACAGCCTGTCTGCTTGTTCTGGCACATAGTCTGGGGGATCTTGCAAGCCTGCTGAGGCCGCACCCTGGCCCGCGAACAGGGCTCCCTCTTGCCCCCATAAGGGTAAGGAAATCACATTGTTCTTACCAGGACGCTGGCCTTTGTGGCCACTTTTATTATAGCAGTCAACAAACAGCTACTGGGGACTTGCCATATGTCAGGCACTAAGCAGGAAATGGGGAATTCTTCTATTGCTCTGTAATTCTTATATTAGTCAGCTCGGGCTGTCCTAGCAGAATGCCACCGACAAAGCAGCTTAAACAACGGAAATGTATTTTCTCACATTTCTAGAGGCTGCAAATCCGAGATCAGGGTGCCAGCATGGTTGGGTTCTGTGTCCCTCTTCCTGACTTGCAGACAGCTGCCATTTTGTTCACGTGGCCTTGTTTGTTTGTTTGTTTGGTGCATGCATGTGGAGAGAGATCTCTCTCTTCCTCTTCTTCTGAGGCCACTGTTGAA